CCCGCGGTGCCCAGCCAGGTGCTTGGGATCACAAATGCCTCCAGGTGCTTCCCACGGAGGAGGCAGTGCGGCAGCAGCACGCTCCCCCCCCCGCCGGCCTCTCGAATAAACTGCGAACCCTTGTTTTTCCAGCGAGCAGGAGCTGCCGACACGCACCGCACTGGAGGAAAAGGTGAGAGCCAGCAGCGGTGTCGTCCCTGGCGTGGGGCGCTTGTAGCGCCGTCCGGGGAGGATGTGGGTCTCACTCGCAGCAAAATGGACGTGCGGGCGAGAGCAACGTAGGCAGCTGGTACCTGCTGGGGGTCCTCGACTGCAGGAGGTGTAAGCAACTACATGCAAAGATGCAATGAGATCCTCTGGGCAGTGACTCTGTTTATGGCTGCTTTCCAAGCCTTTGGTTTCATAAACTTTTGGAGCTTTAACTTCACAGCTTTTGGTCCTGCTCCTCCTCCACGCTGCAGTAAAGTTATACCTACTAAAGCAAGAGGGAGCTGGGATACAGCTGCTTCTGGAAAAAAGCCTCCATCACTTTTCCCCTGCTTTGGCCTGTTGCTCAACAGCTCAAAAAGGGGAAAAACACAGGAGGCTGTGGGTGACGCTGCTTCCCACCCTCAGCTCCTCCAAGCCAGGAGTGCAGGCAAGGTTAAACAGGACAGCAGCTGATTGCAGCTCCCCAGGTCGTGCAAGGGCTGCTGCAGTGCGGATCCCTTTCTGCACGGGCCTGGAAGAGCAGGCAGGCAGCATACGAGTGTGAACAAACCTGTCAAAAGCAGCCCCTCTGCTGCATCGTTTTTAAACGTGTTATGATAATTACTGAGCACTCCTGCCGTCCAGATGTTTTTTCAGTAATAAAAAGGAAAGTCACCTTATCAGACTGGAGCAGGGTGGCTAGCGCAGCTTCTGCACAGGCTGATTAAAGTCGAAGCGTTCAGGGAGGAAAGGCGTTTTACTTGGCGCTCAGAGGTGGCTGCCCTGCTCCGCAGCCGAGCGGGATGGGAGCTCAGCCCAGAAACGGCCATCGCCTGCCCTCCGCTGCGCCTGCGCGGGCGCTGTGCTGGGCAGGGGTTCTCTCCCTCCACTCACCTGATAAAGAGCACTGCCCGCCTCAGAGGGACCCCCTGCTCTGGTTTATGGCAACAGTACTTGGTTTCTCTGGTGGGAGCTGCTAAACTGGAGCAAAACTGCATCCCGTGTCTGGCAGACACAGCACCCTAGCATCCGTGGCTAGCTGAGCAGGGAAGGGGTCTGTGTCTGAGCACTGCTCCCCCTGAAACACTGCTGTGTGCAAAGCCTGGGTTTCTAGCTGTTTTTCACACCACTTCTTTAGTTAACTGTGCATGAGAATTGCTGGTGTCTGCAAACACCTCCTGGTCGTTTCTGCCACTGCTACAAGGTGCCTGTATGTAACTGAAGGTAAAATTTAGCAGCCAAAACTTCTTGTTGTCATTAGATTTAAACTTCTGGGAAGTATGTGCTGGGACTTTTTTCTGATTTTTTTTTTCTCCTTGCACTAGCAAAAACATCAAGAAATTGAGCGAGTGGACAAGTGGCTAAAGATGCTGAAGAAATGGAGCAAATACAGGAACAGTGAGAAGGTAAGGAGGAAAAGAAAGAGCATGTGTAAGGAGAGGGGTGTGAACAAAAGCATCCTTGGAATAGGCCAGATTTTCAAATGGTGATTAAAAAATATATATATATATATACACACGCATATCAGTCAGAACTGTTTCCTCTTCTGGTAACCCAACAATTTCTTAAATATTGGAGACTAATGGGTAGAATTGGGCATCCTATTTTTTAAAAGCAGTTTCCTAAATTTGGCTGTGAAAGCAGCAGGTCGCTTTTCTGAGTTTCCACCAGCTGGGATCTTCGTGGAAGATGTCACTGTTATTGCCCAGATAATATTCCTCATACTTATCCGAAGAGAAGGTTCCCTCGGGGAGACTTATTGGCCCAGATGTTACCTAGACTTTGTTTTCTGGTACTGGTTGTGGCTGTGAGAGCCCTGTCAGCTGCTTGTGAAGGCTGTTGTATTAAATTTATCCAGCTGCGAAAACGGAGCAGGGAGGCACTAACCTTATATGTCGGATTCAGTGTTCAAAATAGCCTCTGCACAGTATGCTGCTGCGAAATAGGGTTAATTTTAGTAAAAATTGAATGTTTTCATTGATACAGACCTTTGCTGTGACAAGGAGGGAAGGATTATGGCCAACTTGCACAGGTTACAGTGCGCTCAGTCCCTGTGTAAACCCAGGAAGGGCTTGTAACATGTTTCCTAAATTTGGGTACCATGTCAATAGGCAAAACAGCCACCCTGCTCTTTTTCACTGCCCTCCTGCCCAAATAATTTCTTCCTCTGGTTGTGGTTAGCTCGAGACCTTCCTTGCAGCTGTGGGGCCGCCTGCATGTGGAGCATTTTGCCATCGCGCGGCCGCGTCACGCTGTGGGGAGCGGTGGTTGTCCATGGGCGGCGGGCGCCTCCCCCAGGGGGGCGGCGGGCCCGGCAGCAGCCGTGTGGGGAGCGCGGCAGCTCCGCCGGTGCCGGCCCGTCCGCTCCCTGGCACCATCTTGCTTCCGCCGCGTCAGCGCGAGCGCGTTCAGCGCCCCGGAGCTGCTTCCTGTCCAGACCTCCTCTTCGGCACGAACAGGAAGGGGGCTGTGTGCAGGGCGTTGCTGGCTTTTACTGCTTTTACGGCTTCTAGCTGTCACTGCGCGTCTGCTGGGGAGACCTGGGCCCCAGAAGGAGCAGGTTCTGCTGAGGATGTCTGGGGAGCTGCGAGGATGCAGCCCGCATGCCCTCGTCCACAGGGATGTCAAGTCTGCCCGACATCCCAGCTGTAATCTTGGATTTATAGTAAAACTTCAGTTTCGTTACAGGAGGAATGGGCCTGGAGCCAGGCTTGAACTCTAATCCTTATGTTCACTTGAGAATTTTTCTAATTATTTAGTTCATCAATGCTATTCCACAGTCAAAAACGGAGGCCCTCCAGTGGCCTTGCTTTCTCTAATTAGAGGTAGCACTAATTGATCGGTGGTCCTGTGGATAAAATACCAGATTCCAGAAGACTGTAGGGATTTCAGCTTTTTAAGCACATCTGGATTATGTAATGAACAGTTGATATCACTCAGGTTTTGTGGCGCAGGCACTAGTTTTGCGATTTAGCAATTGGGCTCTTGCAGGTTTTCTCTCCTTCTTTTGCTCCCTGTCACCCCAATAATAAAGTTGCAAACCAGCTGCTGGGTCTGGGTCCGAGAGGTGCTAGACAGGCTGTTCCCTAGCAAGCAACTCAGAGGGCTTCATGTCACCAAATCACAGAGCTCTCGCAATGGAATAAATGACGTTATGGTTTCTAGCAACCCCTAAGAGGCTCACATCTCCGCAGCACAGAAAGGGCTTTGTGCCCGTGCTGGAGGAGCCAGGGAAGCGGGTGCGAGCTTGCTGAGCAGCAAGTGCATGGGGAAGGGGGCAGCCTGGTGGCCCGGGGCAGCAGACACCCTGTGTGCGCCACCGTGGCGCTGGCCTGGCCGCTCTGCGCGAAGCGTGCCGAGCCCGCGGGCCACAGCGCCCTTGGGCTTGAGGGCGCCGCGCGGAGCCTCCCTGCGTCACGGCTGAGCGAGGGCTGCGCGCGTGAGCTGGGGACACTGCAGAGGAGGGAAGGCGGGGACGCCTTCAGAGGGTTATTTGTTTGTTTGTAGTTAAGCTAAATACAACAGGTTGGTGAATCATATGTTACAAAACAGTCGGTTGGTTTTGCTCCATCCCTGAGCAGCAGACCATCACCTGCATTGCACTGTCAGGTTCGTTTCAGCATTTCAGCGGAGTGCAGCAACCCAGAGTATCATGAGACACTGGTTACATACTGTTTGAATAAAGACTAAGGTGGCCACTTGAATTCTTACTGAAAACAGGAGCTTTTCCTTGATGTTCATTGTGAGACTGCAGTTTAGTACAGGAAATAAGAAATCTTGCTGCATGAACCCCCAAGCCTAGGCCATTTCCAGGCTTTGAACGGGGTGAAACTGGGTCAGGATCCCAGCGGGAAGAAGCAGGGCAGCAGTAGGTTGGACTCCTCCTTCCTTCCCTTCTCTGCACTTGACTTCTCGCTCCGCACTGCCCAGTAGCCATCCCGGAGCTCGCTCTCTGCTGCTGCCTTGTGCCCCTCAGCCACAGGCACATATTCTTTCTTTCTCTTTCTTTTATTTATTTTTTAACCTGGGAAGTACTTGCAGGACCTGGGAAACAGTGTGTACCCTGCCTGGTTGTAGCTGACTTGGAAGTCAGCTGTCAGCTTTGCTGGTGGCTGCTCCCCTGTGGCCCCATGCAACAGTTTTTGCTTAGCATTCCCTAACTGAGCATTCCCTAAGATGAATCCCGATGTACTGCTGGTCAGTGAGATCAGGCTGAAAACCCCTTGGAACATTTGTCTTATATAGTCCCTGGCCGAGGCTGGTCTGTTTGCACCTAAAATTATGCCCGATACAACCTGTTTGAGGATGAGCAACAAATAAGGTTATCTCAATCAAAGCAATGCCCTGCGGCTGCTCACCTTTGTCCCCATGCCAGGCCTGTCTCCTTGCCTGTTCTAGATGCATTTTGCAGCAATATAGGGCAGCACTGTGGTAGAAACAGGTGATAAGTAAGATAGGTCCAGTCCACAGCATGGATGCGGTTAGACTGATGTGCTGGTGCCCTTTCCTGGCTATTCATCCCGTCCCAATTTGCTCACTTCCCCCAGGGAAAGGTTGCACTCCGATAACGGTGTGATCTGTTCCAGTCCTGGAGTAAACCGACCCAGAAGGAATGCTAGTGTCGGGTGGCTAAAACCTTAGGAGACAGCGTGACCCCTGCACAAGCTGCTTTAGCCACCGGCCACGCAGCATCGCTCCCATGGAGAGGGATGTCTTTGCCAGAGACGTCTGGCCGGATGGATTAGGGTGGAAGGGGCACAGAGCGCCAGGACGAGGTGCGAGGAGCCCCGTCCTTCCCTGCGGTGTCGAGGGAGGCTTCGTGTCCCGCCTGGCTGGCGCCCAGGGAAGGCTCTTGGGTCGGCGGCCGCGGGGAGGCTCTCTGCTTGTGACTCGCAGGGCAGGACACCGTGGCTCTGACGGCAGAGCGGCGCGTCTGGGGCCGTGCTGGGAACCATGGGCAAAAAATGAAGCGTTCCCTGTCCTGTCAGCTGCTTTGGGCTTGGGCTCCCAGCTGAGCTCAGCGCTCACATCGTCCACCAGTCCGCGTTTTGGTGCGAGAAGGAGGTGGAGCAAGTTCTCCCAGGGGGGTAACTGGAAGACCTGAGCACTTGGTCGGGTGCTTTTCAGAGGAAATCTCAAATGCAAGCAGGAAGATAAAGCTTCAGTCTGTGTTTTGATAGGCTTCCCCCTGCTAGCTCTTAAGAAATACATAAAGCATATGGTGAATGGAGGAGTAGGAATGGGATGCTGACCTATCTCTGCTGCAAGCTGTACATCTAGTTAAAGCCTGGAAAGGGAAGATGATTCTGTGGCCAGACCTGCAGCGATTCTTAAATGCTGTAAATTTTGCTTTTGGCTCTAACGTGGCCTTTCCGTGCAGCACTGTGAGCCATTGCTTCGATCACCGACCTTTCAGTTTCATCCGTGGAATGGGGCAATATTTGCTCTTCCTCTGTGTTTTGACTTTCCACCAGTCTACTTGGGGCAGGAGTTGCCCTGATCTAGGAGCTCTCTCCTGACTTCTAAGTGCTCAGCTGATCCCTAGAGACAAAAGAGGGTGACCTTGAGTTTTATTTGTATTTCACATGACGTAGGAAGCTGCCCTGAGCTCTCACCTGCTGCCTTCCTGCACTCGTTTCATCCCACTGTAATTGCTGCTCTCAGTGATAACTTCCCTGTTTTCCTTCAAGTTTCACACAGAAGGAAAATTGCTCATTTTTGCTCCCGGTGACTCATGCAGCTCTGGGCTTTTATTGCTTTCACTCCTGGAGGTGGTGGGAGGAGGAAAGCCCTGGGATAAATAACAGAGGGGCTTTTTACTTCGCTTCAGTCTCCACATGTTTTGTAACTGCCGTGTTCCTGCCGCCCTCCCGCACGGGAAAGCGGCAGCGACGCTTCCTCTGCTAGTGAGGGTTGTGTGCGCTAAAGCACAGCAATAACAGCTCGAGCATTCCAAACAAAGCAGTTTTCTTCCCACAGACTCGAGCATCGTGTTCTACCTTGGCAACTGTCAGTGTCTCGTAACGCGTTGGAAGTAAACAAATTGTGAAGTAATTTTGACTGAATTGAGACATCCTCTTGTTTCTTGATCTCTCCTCTGCCGCTGCTTTGCTGTATCCCAGGCACCTGCCGGAGGCGCAGGCTTTCCTTGGCTCCACAACTTGGGCAAAATATTTCATCTTCTCATGTTGTGTCCCTTTTCCTGAGGCGTGACTGTTCTTCCGGGCTGATTTAAGTTGATTTTTCCTTGGGTAATTCAGCCCAAAAGCAACCACCGCAGCAATTGTGTGGTGTGTGGAAAACCTTTTGCTAACGCTTTGCGCCTGAGCCCTTCCCCGTGCAGGGTGGTGGCACCTCCAGCAGGTGCCACACGTGGCTGCGGTTGATCCACGGCTTTGCATGGCCGGGGCTCAGAGCTCCCCTTCCCGGCCCCGGGAGGCAGCACCTCGGCACCCGGCCGCTGCTCCGCACACCTGCGGCTGTTCTGGCCTGAGGGGGCTCCGGAGCGCTGGGGCTCTTGGCCTGGGGAGCTCGGGAGCCTCCGGGGGAGCTGCTGTTGGCTCTGAAGTGCAGCTGGGAGGCACTTGAAGGGCGAGATGGATGAATGGGTGGAAAGCATTCAGAAATAAGACGCTTTTTTTGAAGTTCTTTGAATGGGAGAAGTCAGGGGTGAAACAAAAGCCTTTTTTTTTCTTTTTTTTCTGTTTCCCATTGAAATTTAATGGTGTCTTTAGTGGGAGAGGGCCTCATGACCAGAAAAAAAAAAGGAAGCATCTGTGAAATGCTTAAAGTGACCACATGGAGGTGAGAGGGGAGACATGGGCACATTTCTTCCCTGCCCCCCTCCTTGTTTAGGGAACACTATGCAGGCTGTCACTTCATGCAGGGGGAGAGCCCTTGGCATAGCCAGCATTGCCCCGTGGAGCCACAGGAGTCTGTCTCCGGGACTTGCTGTGGGCCTATCCCTATGACCCTCGTGGGAAGGGCTCTCCCATCCGAGAGAGAAATATACTTTTCTCCCAATCCCTGAGCATCCCTGTAGGAATGACTATACCAGATCAGAGCAAAGGGTTGTGAAGCCGAGGAGGCTTTATGTGGCCCTAGGAGGTGTGGAGGAGGCCAGGGCAGGCTGGTATACGGGGAACACCTCTGCTGTGAAGCACATGGGATCCTTCCCTGCGGGAAGGCGACGGTTCGTGCCCAGGGGCTGGGCAGCACTGACGCTCTGCCTGTTCTTCTCCTTGCAGATGTACCGGCGAGTGTACAAGGGGATCCCACTCCAGGTGCGAGGCCAGGTCTGGTCGCTGCTGCTGGACGTCGAGAAGATGAAGAAAGAGAACGAAGGGAAGTACGAGGTATGAGGCTTTTTCTGCAAAGCCCCTGGCTGCTCGGGTGGGATTTCAGCTCGCCGAGGTAGGTCATACCCAAGACGGATGCCGGCATTTCTGTCTTTGCCCCCGAGCTCCTGGAAGGGGGAGCGTGGTGGGCTGCTGTGACCTTGGAGTAGTGAAAGCATCACATTAGTGGAGGCTGAAAATGGAAAGGGGATAAAGTCTTTATCCATGTGTAGGTTAGGCGGGGATCTGAGCCACCTGTTCTCCCTGACATACTTAATTCCATATATCCTACTGGAAGTTGCTAGCAAAGATGTTTTAGGTGTTACTGCATCTTTGGAGGGAAAAAGGAAAAGTTCAGCTGTAAAGGCATTGGCTGCTTTTTTCAGAGCTTTCTAGGATGATTTTGAGTATCCGCAAGGAAGGTACCGTAAAGCAGGCGCGCACGAGGCATTTCACTAAAAGCAGGTACCTCGAAGCCCTGCTTGCGGCTTGAGATTTCCCTTGTGACATTGTCACAAACCACAGAAAAATCAGAAGATTTAAACCAGAAAAACAAGAAATCCAGTTAAAGGCAGGATGGAGATGGGTTCCTGAAAACTTGTGCGGGGATTTCTAATTCGGAGCATCCCGGTTTACAGCTGAGCTGTGCAATTGGAAGCTGGCTCTACTGGCAGTGCTGAAAGCTTGGCTTGAAATGCTGGTGTGTTTTTTTTCCTTTTATCTTCAAGTAAGTCCTTAATCGCTTTACAGAAATGATGTCTTAAAAGTCTCTCTCCAGTTTATATGATTTCCTCTGTGGATAGGAGCAAAGTCTGACTTCTAGTGTTTCTTATCAGAGCATTTTGTGCTGTGGGCAGTTTCAAGGATTCCTTAGCATGAAATAAAGCAAGTTCTGCTGTATGCACTGAATGCACACTCAAAAGATAAGGGCTGTTGGGTTTTATTGCAACAAAGGCATTTTTCCTCAAAGTATCTGCCTGGTTTTACGCTGCCTTTTTCCATATGCAACCCTTGGACCTGCCTCCGTGAGAGCTTAACTCCTTTCCTACCTTCCTTTACAGTTTATTTTTTGCTAGCTCTCATTCGTGCAGCCCTGGGGACGCGCTGAGGAGGCAGTTTGGCACGGGGCTGTGTCGGTGCAGCCGAGAGGGCCCCGCGTAGGGCGGCCGTGAGCGCCGGCGGCCGCAGAAAGGTCCCGGCACA